GATATGTACGCCTTGCGTGGGAAAAATGCACACTCCAGCCCTTATCTGGTAAGAGAATCGATTGAGAAGGAGTGTGAAATAATCACGGTGAGAATCGTATAGTCTACAATTGTTTTTACATGTTTGAAGTTTTCTCCACAAGTGTGCTCGTTTACAATTTTTGATGTATATATTCAAATATGACGCTCAGCAGTAGAGGCAATATATTCAACATGATTACCATATTTTTACATAAAATTCAAGTACGATTATATGTTCACTTTTCTACCACCTAACTAATATATTCGAATGGATAAAATTATTCTTTGATTCTTTTTGACATTGTACAGTCTTTTTATCATATAATACAGAACTACAAGAGAAAAGAAAAGAATAAAAAAGAATTCTACTGGAGTAAATGATTACTCTCTTCGTCAGAGTACATGACGTTAGAGCCAAATAATATCTTTATTCTAGAGGTGAGTAAAGAACAGTGAAACACATGTAGTCTATTTTTGTTCTTTGTCTCTTGACAAATGATATACCCAGTATAAGCGTTTCTTTCTTCGTCATTCACAAAAAAGAAAACAAGGAAAAAAAAAACCATCTCAGATTGACCTCACTTGTCTTGCGTATACAAAAAATAAGAAGATCCATTGATATCAAACGATATCTCTTTTAGAAAAGCAAAAATCTAATTTTGATAAAGTTTATTTTTGCAGATAATACAATGGCAAATGCAGCTCAAGTTGATCATGAAATTGAATTTCTTGTCGATTTTATTCGTGCAAATGGTAAAAAATCAAATGATAACAAATATCAGATAACATTTGGAGAATTATTTCAAAATGATCAAATAGCCAATACATTAGAGAGTTTAGCTGGTACTTTGAAAGCAGCTAAAAAGAAAAAAATTGTTACATACAAAGCCGAATTACTATTGCAAGGTGTAAGTGATAAAGAAATAATAACATTAGAAAAACAAGATTAATTAACAATTATAGAGTAGTTAGGTAAACATTATTATATTTTATTTTAATTTTTTATTTGAAATACTATTGAAAGTTTTTTTTTTATAAATTTTATCCTTATTAATCTAAACATCATCCAGAATTCGATGATTTTTTCTTTTTCTACTGTTATTATTATTAGTAAGGTGATTGTTATCTTTTTTTCTATCTATCTATCTCACTATCGTATAGAAACTTGTGTATTGTTTTTATTATACATCTATTTGCTGTTTTTATTTTATTTTCATACTGTGTATGTTTTGACTGTGAAACTTTTCCATGCCATACGTTTCTTTGCTTCTTTTTCTTGTTTCTAACGATTTTGCTTTTATATCCCAAAGAAAATAAAAAAAACAACAAATGATTAACATTCAACGAGTGTCTGTGTGTATAATAACAAAAACAAAAAAACAATTGAAAAATGACTTGTAACATGCTAAAAAATGTATCTAAAAAATGTGTGAAGAAGAGCGCATTTTTTTGTTGAGCAATCTTACGTTTTAATGAATTCGCTGACTCCTAATCTGTCTCTCGTCAACGGGTATTGCTAAAAGAGATGAAAACCTCCGAATTAAAATATGGGTTAGCCAATCGATAGAACTCGTTGAGGTGAGTATAGCAACGCCTAACGAACATTCAAGAAACTTTTTATAGTTTCGCTTTTTAAGCATACATTTCAATGAACGTCCACTAACACCCAGAAGAAACGGTAAGAACACCCAAAAAAGTGTGCCAAAATTCATCTCCAGATTGTTCTGAGGCTACTGGTAGGCTGAGGGTGAGGTACTGGTAAGCTCAGAATACCCTGGACATAAATTTGGCACACTTTTTTGGGTGTTCTTACCCTTTCTTTTAGGTGTTCGTGGGTGTTCATTGAAATGTATGCTCAAAAAGCGAAATTATAAAAAGTTTCTTAGATGTTCGTTAGGCGTTACTATACTCAGATCGACGAGCTCTATCGATTGGCTAACTTAGATTTTAATTCGGGAGTGTTCGTGAATGTTCGCGTCTTTTAGCAATATCCCTCGCCAATGGGTGTAGGCATACTTTTAAGCAAAAAATAAAATTAATTGCCGATTTTAATGAATCTATAGAGAAGAAATATTGTACGAACCACTTTCTCAGTAGCAAACAACGTTACAAAGAAAAGAAAAAAATTGTTACA